GCCACATGGTGCATCAGTTCTCCAACTGCAGCTGGGCACTGTAAAGGTGGATTGATGTGAAAATACCTGAATATAATATATAAAAGTCAGAATCAGGGTTCTGATATTTTGGCCTACATAAGAGAAGTTCTTTTGCAAGTTCACTCCGTAACTAAAATGCTAGTGTCATTCTGCTCTGAACAAACTTCAAAATTTGAGACTGTTAATATCATTTTGAACCAAAGAAATGCCATTTCAGAACACAAGGGTTTTTCCACACAGTTGCTCTGTTCGTCCTATCTCAGGCATTCTCCTCATTCTCAAGCAGCCTTCTCTTCATCCACAACATATTTATATACCTGAGAACAAGAACACCCCCCCTCACCTACAATCCTCCTACTCAGAGATATAATGACCATCCTGGCTTCACTTTTCATTACTAAACCATCCATTAGTCTTAGGAACAAACAAAACCTAATCTTAGACAATAGTACAATGCTGTCAGGCTTACTCCTCAGTGCACTTGAAGATTTGTGACAATATCAAGCTCATCAGCAGGATGCAGGCTCAGAGAGAGCAGAGGCCATGGTTTCCAGCTGCAAAACCCTGATGGACCTGTCTCAGCCAGAGTAATCTCACTGATGAGTTCAGAAGCATTACAACATTGCACATCTGTATCATGGCTTTTACTTAGACCTGAAGCACCCAGCAGCATGGAAAATACCACGGCATGTTTCAATGTAAAATCAGCAGATTAGCCCCTTGACCCTTTCCTGCAGAGTTTCTAGCCCCCACCTTTTTGTATTGCATAAAGGTATGCAACCAATATAATCAGTTGAGGGATGAATATCCTTAAAATTTGGTCTAGCCTTTCCCAGTCCTGAAGCCATCACTCTGCCTTGTAGAGTGCAAGAAGTGGTAGGTAACAACAACAAACACAGAGGTTTTAATTTCCTCACCCTCTGTATGAATATAATTTAAGACCCAACACACATCAGAGATAATATCACGAGGAATAGGGACAACTTCACATTGATACTTGAGAATTCATTTGTATATAAAATAGTCATTTTGAAGTCAGGGATGGTTACATCTAAGTACATGGGATCCAATTTTCAGAGGCACAGAACATTTGCATCTCCTGCTGAAATCAATGGGAACCGTAGGAGTTCAGCACCTTTAATCAATAGGACCAATGATTTGCAAGTCCAAATCATCTGCTGATAAAAACGGAAGGTGTCATGGAAGAAAATTCCTATTTAATAATGGGCTAAAAATAACTGACTAGGTGATCAGGCACATCATAAATATTGTATTGCCTTTAAAAAAAGAAAAGGCAGGGTACTGAAAACTACAGAAAAATAGTGCCATTATTATTCTATCTCTTGCATTTGCCTTGTACACTCTTAAATGTTGCTTGTTTTTCTTCTTTAATTAATGATGGCTGCTTAGGCTTTTATTACAGTGAGATTGAAAAAAGAGGGTATTTAGTACATCGCCCGAAAAAGGTAACATATTTTACATGTTTATACCAACACAGACCAATAGATGAACAGAGAGACTATTAACTGCATTGAATCAAACAGAGATGGTCTCATTTTTCATTTGATAATTAGGAATCTATCTATAGCCTTTGGCCACTAATATGTGCACAGAGTTTGCTAGCTCTCACCTTACTTACCAAATCTGAAGGCTATTTGAAAAGTATTTCCCAATGTTTTTAAAGAAAACTCAGTTTTCTTTCCCACCCTTTCGAAGGTGCCATCTGCAGAAGCACCTGAGCCCACCCCCGTGACACGCATCCAGCTCTGCTGATTGAAAACAGCCGATGGCGGAGAAATTGGCGTGAGTGCACTGAAGTTGTCAACATGTATGAAATTACAGGAGAAAAAATTAAAGCACAATGCTTTATTCTACTGAATAAATATATGTAATTCAAGACGTTCACAGAGACCAAACGCTGCTGTATGAAATAGGCATTTTTTGCAGTAACTATTATGGCTTTAAAACTTATCTGTGGAAATTATTCCTGCTGAAGTGACAATGTTTTTCACTTGATGCACTAAATATTCTGCTTAAAATTTTTCAATAAATCAGTTGTTGTACAACCGTTTTAGGGGTTCTATACATAATTTTCTTACTGCCCATGTAGCAGACAGATTTATCTCAGCAAGGTCCAAGTAATAAGAACACTGATTTACAGGGCACCAAGGGAATCAGAGAGATTTGTTTTTCCAAATTGACCAGTACTTCAAAAGAGAGGAAATGCAGAAGTATTTGCTTTCAGGTGAAGTTTCTCTTTTGAGCCTCACTGATAATGGGGAAAGGTTGAAAAATAGAAAAGTATTTCAATACTTTATCTTTCAAATGGAAAGAAATCACAGCTCAGAGCACGTTGGTCTGCACAGGTCTCAGATCTTCACAACTGCAAGAACTACTTGCACATTTTTGGTCTGGAAGAAGCACTGGATTTTGAAGGACTTTGGGAACATCCCAACTCAAGGCTGAGATCTGAGTTTGGTTTTGACAGTAACATGTAGCTCTGGCATCTAATGGTAGTGCAAGGTATTGGAGAAAGCACATTTAAGTTGATAAGGGGAAGAAAAACCTTAATCTTAAATTTTGATCTACCTTCAATTGGCTTGAAATTGCAGATCATTATAGTTTAGTGCAGATCATACCATAAAACATAATGTTGAAAATAAAATTGCCTTGCTTTTCCAGTACCAACCATGGAGTTGATCCCAGGTATGTCTGACTCTGAGTTCACCATGAGTTCTGCTGCACAATTTGGCTCCAAGTCTTCAGCCACTGCTTGGCCCTAACTCCCTCTGACTTGAAGGAAACCCTTTCTGGAGCAAGGACTCAGGGAGCCAACCCAGTGTTAAGCATGGTGAGCAAAGAGAAGGTACCTGCTGCAGTGAAATCTAACCGCACAGGTTACATGCTGTCTGATTCCATACATCCACTTATTCTCATATAAAACACTCACATTTAAATTCTTAGCGTGGAATGCAAAATATGAAACCCTACATAGCAAGTGAACTTTGAAATCAGTTCGTATGCTGGTATCCATATCTAATCAAATGGAAAGAATTAAGGACAGATCACAAATGCATTTAAATGTACCAATCAGAAATGGGCAGCAGAATATTAATTTGGAATAAACAAGCTAACTGCCAAATTTACAGGAAAAAACTTACGCAACTGAAAAAAAAATCTGGTGAAAATAAGAGCAAATAATGGCATTTTGGAAAATCTTTTAAGTTAGAATTTCTGGTTCATTGAATTTCTGGTCTTCCAGGCTGCAAAATGTAGAAAGCCAGGTTTCTGCTGTAAATATGCCACGGTTTTTAACCTTAATTCCAACTCATGTTTTCCTAATTACATTTTTATGTCTAAAATATAACTAGAAATACTAATCATTTATATGCAATTCAAAGGTACATTAATTTTACCCAGTTCTGCCTAAATCAAGAAAACATGTTATACTTGTATGTTACAATCTTGAGAGAAAGACAGACATGTCTACAGGCAGCTCATATAGAGTTTTTAACATCCTAGTGATATTGAGCACTTACAGCCTTCTCAGGCCAATGATTTACAGCAGAACATCTCAAGAAAGTTAAAAACTATTCAGTGGCAGAGACTGAAATCTAAGCAGAGTGCTTCAGATAAAACAGAAGCAGTGTTGGTGAGATATATATGTAGCAAGCAGATGAGGCTGCAAAAATTATACAGCCAGTCCTAACTGAGGGCATATGTTCAGCAGCTGTTATGTAAATCTGCAATTAATGTAGCTTACTAGATCCTCAGGTGCTTTCAAATAATCATACACCAGAAACGATCAAATCTGCTTTCCCATCTGCATTAGATCAGGATGTCAGAAAAAAATCCCTCGCGATGAGCAGCTCACCAACAACAAGAACTTTGTCACTATGGGACAAAAGATACAGTGGGAAATGGAAGTGACTGGAATTTTCATCATCATCATTTTCGTCATGGAAGCTTATGGATGGAATGCAGAAAACCAATGGCTGCTTTTCTGCATGGAGCTGCATCTCAGTATCCGTACCACTTTTACCAAGTATCAGCTTCTGGGCAAACTCAGAACTGTTCCCACTCGCACCATAAGACAGTGGGGATACTCTGGCTTCTGCTCACCTTGAAACATTTGATAAAATGAACCTTTTATAACATTTTCAATTCAGACTGAAAGAACATTACAATTGGTGTTCAGCCAAAATGCCATACAGTAAGGAAAACATTTTTCTCTCATGTATGGTTTTAATCACACAGACTCGAAGCCCACCTTCAAAAAATAAACAAGGAAAGAGTTTCTAGCTACAGTGATAAATGCTGCCAATCTATCATGCCAACAAAATTGCAAAATTAGTTACTTATCAAAAATGAGTTTGAAATTAAGTACTTGTACCTCAATCTATGTCACATTGTTCTCAAACATAAAGACAGAAATACATTCTAGAAAATATGTAGAAATTATGGTTTAAAACACTACATAATTTTAGAGCTAGTTGCAAGGTTAGTCAGTGAAATGAGTATTAAAGGGAAAATAGGAAAGATTTAAACAGATTAGATTGAAGAAACGAAATATGGTAGCAAACCAAAATACTGTTTAGAGTTACAGATAGCTGTTCAGAACAAACATTTAAGAGAAACAATGTTGTAAGCCTTCATATGAAAATCAGATGTTTAATTTAAGAAAAATATCACAGCAATTAAAATCAGTAGGAGTCCTCTGTTGGTATAAATATGTCATCCTGAGTAGTATTTATTTCTGTATTAGGCAGCATCGAGGTTAACAATGCAATAAGTTAATGAGAATTCTGTGTTCAACCTCTGGCCAACCTGGGATTTTGCTCGCCAGAAGTCGCAAAGCATCCCACAGCAAACATTATTAGTAAAACACAATTTGTAGAGTAATTCAGAGTAAAAGCAAGCATGACAGCAGAGCAGAAAAGGTACAAACAACTCAGCATAGAAAAGAAAGAGAGGCTTACCGATAACATAGGCCAGCAACAATGCCAGCGTAACCGTAATGGCAGTAGCACTCAGAGCAGTGCACTTCCAGTTGCAACACCTGTAAGGTTTGCTAAAAGTGAAGGCAGGTCTAGAAAAGGTATTTCTAGGAAGAGGCCTAGGAGGTGGAGAGTAAACAGTATTGGATGTTAAAGGATAGTTCTGACTGGCTGCACTGAAGATTGCTGAAGACCCCGATCCATGTTTAAATAGGAAATGCCTACAAAAAGAAGACAAAGAACCACATTGTAAAAACCAGTTTGTGCTGCAAGGAGCAAAAGGCACTATTAAGCATTGCATGATAAATAGTGCATACATCTACAGAAAACACAAAAGTCAGGAAAAGATATAGTTGAACATTCTCTGCTCTAGAAGCATATATGACTTTGTAACCACAAAGCAAGATTTCCAGCAGCTTTTCAACAAAAACAAGATGAACACCTCCTAAGCTGCCGGCACAGAGCAGTGTAGGGATGGGGCAGCCCGAGGTGCCAGCCCTGTGCTGCTGGCACAGCCGTGCCTGGGATGCAGACTTGGCCTGCAGCACCTGCTCTGCATGCAGACACACAGCCAGCTGCGCTCATCTCCCCAGGAGCCCCAGGAAAAGAAAGGGAAATGCCACCCCCGCTTTGAATATTTGTTTTTATTGTGGATTCTCTCCAAAATACATCCTTTAAAAAAAAAAAAAAAAAAAAAGGAAAAGTAGTAAGAGTCTACTTAGTAGAAAATCAAAAGTACAATAAATTTTGAAAGTCTTTCGCCTGTAAGTACGATTTCTCTAGTATTCTTAACTGAGCTATTCTGAGAGCAGTTTTTCATCAAACCTTTTTGCTTATTATGGTGATTCTCATCATGCTAAGAACGAATTCATTTGGAGACCAATTTCAGCGAAGGCTGGAGGGCTGATTGACTTCAAGACAAAATAGGGAGCATCTACATTAGCACAAAAAACAAGGTACAGAAGTGGGCCGCGCAGCATGGAGGCTGGTGCAGAAATACAGAGTGGCTTCCTGCAGGAAGGTGGATGGCATTCAGAGCTCTCCAAGAGGATTAGGAAAGAATGTTTAATTTGAAACAATAACTCAGAGTGCTGTGCACTCTGAAATTGTGGTAGAACGGGATAAAATCAGGACTGATCACAGCAAATATTCCTTTGAAAACACCAATGTTCTTTGGTCTTTCATTCCTTATATGAGCGATTAAACGTCTTGAGTGCACTCTTTTCTGATGGAGGCACACCTAGGTCTCCTGCCATTCCCTCAGCTGTTTCAGGTGTGTGTTATCTCAGCTTTCTGCCCCAAGCAGAGGTGAGAAGTGAAGAGGTGGTGACATGACACAGCTGGCATAACAAGGACTTCCCCTGAGGTGCTGCTTCAGCCTGGGTCTCTGTAGCCCTTCTGTATACCCAGGTACTGCGACTTGTGTGTGCCAGAACTGAAGGACTAGCATCAGGCACTGGATGTCTGCAAGTCAGAAGCCCCAGGCACACTTCTCAGCTTCAGACAGTTGACCAGCACTGGGCTGGTCCAGAGTCTTCCCAGTGCTACAGCCACAGTGTGAAGTGCACGGGATCAAACACTCAAGAGTATGAAATATTATTATAGTGTGACATTTGACTTCAAGAATATTGTAAATACTTGTTCCTGAAAAGGTAATTGCTAAAAAGGTGTAATGAGTATGGCATTATGTATCTCCATTATAACATTTTGAAAGAAAGGTTATGGTTCTCCAAAATGGCAGTTTGTAGAAAATAAAAAGATACTGCAGAGCAGTTGTAACTGGTAAAAAGCCCATTGTTCAGGCAATTCCACAAAAAAAGAAAGCAAACAAGGATAGTGGCCAGCTTGCACTCACAGTGCCTGTATGTCATGATTCCTGTGATGAACCACAAGCAGGAAATTTTGTGTTACTGACACTGAGAACCAGTCATTCTTGCATCATACTTCTTGCACAAGTAAGTGGCACTCAACCAACAAAAGGACAACTGAACTTTATGGAGCACAGCATCCAGAAGTTATACAAAGTTGACTCTAATTTCCTTTCCTTTCTGTAGTTGTAGATATATATTCTATGGCCCTTATTTGATAGATGGGAATGCTCTGAACATGGTAATGCTATCTATATTGAGTATGTGAGTTCAAAAACTCTAAATTCAAATATAGGAATATAATAAATTCCAAGAAATAACACCACTGTCTGCAGGACTATATATTCTGTTTCGCTCCTATCAGATCGTCAGAATACAGTTGGTTATTTTGGTTTCAGTGCTTCATCGTCACACATGGAGGCTTCTGCAAGTACATGAGGTCTTACTTTTTAGTCAGCACTTACAAGATACATAATCACTTGGACTTGCAGTGGATAAGAACATTGCAGCAAAATTCAAAAGTCCTAGTGATCTTCTAGGGAGCTGACTAATCAAATAAAGTAAGAAATGTGTTATTATACTAGCATGTACATATATTATACATACACATATGTACATAGCAACATGCACAAAGATTACATATATTAATCAGTTAACAGTAATTTAATTGCCTTACATTATTAAGAAATAACCTAAGGAGACCCACTTATGTGATATGTTTTCCTTCAATTTTTTGGGAAATTACTGCAAAATGGTCTGATATTGGCAGCACTGATTGACCTTTAAGGTGCACAGCCGAAAGGTATCAGAGGTAAAGGGAAAGAGATGCTGAACCAGAAGTTATGAAGTTATTAAGTTATTACTACTCCTCTAATAGACTTGCAATCAATAGGCAGGAATATTTTCATTCTTTTGCACAAGGATTTAAAAATGTGGCTTCACAGCCTAGTGGTAAAATACTAGCGTGCAGATGGGTTTCTTTAATAGCAGAAGTACAGACAGATGCTGGATCCAGCTCATACCCTTGTAGACAGATGACTACACTGACACAGAGGAGAATTTACATAGCTCTAACTTGTTCAAATAAAATTGAGATCGTGGTGAAAAGAGAGCTACCAGTGAAATAATGTCGAGAAAATGTTAAAAATCACAATTGTTTATGCATTTCATATTTTTTGAGAGAGTTTATTGAGTGCCCAAAGACACTTCGACAGAATCTGAAAAACACTGGTGGCACAAAGACAGATTTCCAAAGCTAGACTGCAACTATGTTCTCATAAACTCAGATGACTCCTCATCTGTCTAAGCACATTGCTGCTCCCAAGGGTTGTTAAGACACGCTAAGCTGTTGCTATCAATTCCATAAAATCAGGCTCCCTCTGAGGAGCAAAATAATAAAAACTGCAGTTCAAAAGTTTATATGCGACTGCAGCCTGGCATGAGCCTTACTATTCGATCAGAGAGAAAAGGTAAAGCTTTTTAAATTTCTTTTTAACTTGACTGAAAACAAATAAAAATAAATCAGAGAATTTAAAGAACATATTACATTATCATTTGTTTTAAGTGGGGGAAGTTCTAAAGTATTCACAAAAACATCAAAAACTTTCAAAACCAAGAAGATAATATCCTCAACAAGAAGAGGAATAAGAGGAACAAGACATAATCTTCACCCATTCACGAAGTCAAGTCCCTTCACAATCACCATGCCAGTTCACCTATCTGTCCACTTGTTCATCTCTCCAAAAATAAAGCATCCAATCCTTGGACTCTTTCAATCAAAAATAACAGGAGGAAAAAGATTCTATCAAACTCGTAACTTCAACTGGAGCCAATGCTCCAATGAGCAACTGTCTGCAAACTCAGTTCTTCACTGCTGTGGTTCCCCAAGCAGGACAGGCTGATTTAGACACCAGAAGAAGTACAAGGGGAATTTTTCAGAGGCGTAGCTGTCGATACATAAGAACAATTCTGATTTTTGCCAAAATGAAAATATATGCAAAGTTGGTATCAAAAGGGACTGGAACTGAAACAGCTGCCCTTTTAATTTACTTGGGCAAATCCCAAACAAACCCATTACTACCTGACTCTTCTAGAAAAGTGTTTGCTGTGGCACTGGAAAGAAGCAGAAACTTGCTCTTTACTCATTTTCTATCTATTCTATTCCTTGTCAGAAATGGAAGAGGAAAAAAAGAGGAAACTTCTAAACTTACATGATGATCAGAATATGGACATCTGTTTGTAAGTCACTCCTTTATCTCCCATATTTAGCAAAGAGTTTAGTATAAAGATGTGACAGATATGGTATGGGAGGTATATAGTATAAAAACAACACATTTACTTAACACAGAAAGATACACTAATCATCCTGGCTTCTTTAAAATCAACCCAGCAAAACAATATGGGAATTACATGATACGACTTATAGAAAAAATCTGACCCATAATTTTATCTGGTGCAGTGGTATGCCTGTTTTGCCTCTCTACGTACAAGGACTGAAAGAAACAAAATGCCTGAGTCAAAGAAGAGGGAAATGGCCATGAACAGTATTTATCTAATTTATTTAAATCATTCTATTTTTATGTGTACAATTGAAATACCTTTAAATCTCAGTGGGACAGCAGAGATTTGTCTTTGGGAGTACAACTGCTCTGTTAAGATTTCCTCTTTGAGCAGGGCTTGGTTTTTAATCATTGACGTTTCCCTTTATTCACCACTGTTTACTTTACTCAATGTTTGAAAACCTTGCCCTGTGACTCTGGATGCTAAAAGATGTAAAGTCTGTGTCCCTTACTTAGCACTTCAGCACAGCCAACAGAAGTGACACGGTGCTGACTCACTTGCCTGTTGTTGCTGTAGGCGAGTCAGCTCAGCAAAGCATGTGATGAGACTTTGAAGTCCTTGGAAGAAATCTGGGACAATAATTATATAAATACAGGATTTATAAACACGCATTTGCATCTTTTCTGTAAAGAATAGTATGCAATATTTGCAGAGTACTTTGAAACCATGAAGTGAGAAGGATAAATATATTAATATCGTATTTTTTTCCCTTATAATCTGTGGTTAAAAGTATGACTTAGACCAAAAGAAAAGAACATGACATAACTAAAGTAGACAGGCAGCCATGGTTCTCTTTGCCATGAATTTCCTCCTATGAGTATTCATGCATGTTCCAGCTGAATTTATTACTACATCTATGCTCAAACTTCTGTACGGTCAAAAGCCAAGGTGTAAATCTAAAGTGACAAATGATACTATCAGCACTTCTTACTTGATGAGATGTGTATCATATTTCCTATGGAAAATATTATCTAGTTATCCAAAACAGATTTCCTAGAAGTAGCAAGCTAGGG